GGGGGGGGGGGGAGGGTGTTCAGAATAGAATGGTTTTCATGGTTTTTGCATGAAGCATTTGCAGATATTATGATGTGCATCTTCATAGGAGGCACTACAGGATAAGTGAATTATGAACAGGGAGACACAAGCATTTCAGTACTGAGTTTGGCAATGTGAATTCATATTTTTTCCCAAGGGAACCAGAATGATGCATCTCTTTTTTGTACTGAACCTCCGAGCTCGTTTTCTCATATGCCCCCCATCTTGGGCCCTCCTTATATGAAAACAGACAGGAATTTTCACAGTGCACATTCACAACTGGAGGTTATTTGCATTCTCTCTCTATATAAAGGAAGAATGGCATTACTTCTCCTTTGGTTCTGCACACCGGAGCAAAGAAAAATGGTATTACGACCTACAAAACCTTCCTTGAAATAATTCTCTATGACTTGAGGCCTTTTGGAATAGAAGGGATATATTGTTTTGACTTGATTAAAGCTGAAAAGTTGATTTGACATCCTGTTGTCAAGGAAACCAATTCACACACAAAAGAAAACAGTTGTGATGGTATCATTCCGACTATTCAAGTGACCTTAGGAAGAAAAAAAGGCTTCAGTTTCAAAGATTTGTATTCAACTCACTTCACTACAATGGAAATAAAGATCATTGCTCTTTATGCTTATTTGGAAGCAGTTTTCAGTCTGGAAAAAGCAAAATACCATATTTTTTTCCAAATCTGTGAGGCCAAATGCCTTAGTGTGGTCACAAAGACATACAGCTACCACATACCATTCACTACCTGTGTTCACAAGAACTGCAAGAAGTATATAGAAGGGACAGAGTGAAGGGGAAGGAGTAATATGCACTGGTTAAATTTTTAGATATTTATTTGTATGTATATTTACACACTCATATTTTACATACATCCCCAGAGACATCAAGCCAGCTACCAGGGGATGTAATCATGTTCTTAGATCAATGATTGCAGCTTAAATTAGGCCCAGTCATGGTGTACCCAAGATTCACTTTCCTGAGATAATTCAACAGGAGTATATCTAGTCCATTAACCTCCTGGATCCCTCTGTCTAGGACGCAGCCTAGAAATGTCCAACACTATCATAAAGAACTTTTTCTGGCTGTGGACAGGGGATGCTTCTTCTCAGCTGATAGTGCAAGATCCCTCTACACGTTTTTGGCACTACTAGCCACACCGTGCTAAATACACATGTAGAAAGCTGCCAGAGTAAATTGGGCAGCCATAGATTAGATCCAAATCATTCCTATCTGCCACATCCCGGAGAGACATGATAGGCATGACAGACATCTAGTTATCATTATTCCAGGTACACATGATGTGGAGTTTCACAAGGCTCAATGCTTCCTCCCATCCTACAAGAGATAATTCAGGAAGACAGTGAACCACTTCAGACATTAACTTGCGGACAACTATATTGCTCTCTCTCTGCTGATTTAGCCTCTGCCATCACTGATGCCCAGAGGAATGGGTAAGCAGATGGTTAAAAAGTAGCAGGCTTGATTTCAACTTAGGGAAACTAAACATGATTTTAATCGGGGGGGGGAAATGCACTAAGGAACTAAAAGCCAGTGTTCTTACATCACCATCATTTTAGACTGTCAGACCATAAATCATTCCTGTAATATGAACCCTCAGAGTCATCTTCCATTCATTACTATTTTATGACATGCAAAGTGCCACAGTGGTGAATATTTTCCCCTCTCTGACCAGAAGACTGTGTCATCCCCTCTCAGACAAGGATCAGCCACAGAGATTCATGATGACCATTGCTTCCTGCAGCTTATTTTCCCCTAAGGCTGAGCACAACTGCCACAAGAAGGCTACCAACTGGAGTAAGCCAATGTCTTGTTAAACAGAATCTGGCAAAGATATTCCACCTCTGTTCTGAGTATTGCACTCTTCTCTGCCTCAGTTCAATACCAAATGTAAAGTCCTGGCCTAGTCCACAGAGCTCTGTGAAGTGCTTCACCACCTCATCCTATGCCACCTTCAAAGATAACTGTGGTCTACTGATGTGATATAGTGGGGAAGCACCAGGTTTATCCCATCAGGAACAGGAGGCCAAGTATTCCTAGCAGTGATGCCCGCACTAAAAAGTGTTCTTTTTGGATAAAGCTTTTTGGCAGGAATATCTTACAGGCACATTTGTAATTTTTGTATATGCTGGCATTTAACACACACAAGTATCTCCAAGTTTCTTGGGGAAAAAATGAATGGGGGGTGGGACAGGACACTTTGGGAATTGTTTACACTTACATTATTGCTCAGGTTGAAATAACAGTACACTGGAAATACCAAGGGTGGACAGAAATTATCACAAAATACCTAGCAGTCATTATTTCCACTTGAGATAATATGCCAGGAAAGCAAAGCGCAATTCTAACCCTATTAAAGCAACAATGTAGAACACAAAGCTAATCTGGGATTCAAAGAAAAGTGGCATTACTAACAATGACCTTTTTCAGCATCAAGAGGTTAATTATAGCTGGGAGACAGGGCAGAAAGGTGCATATTTTTCTACTTTTTACTTCTTGAAGTTTTAAAAATGGATATTTCTTGCACAGATGTGGAATGGAAGATGTTAATCCAAATTCACGGTATTTTGCCAATTTGTCTTAATCTTCCTTTAAATTTTGATGAACACTTCACTGTTTTATGGTAAAAAAAAAAAAAAAAGCCAAACACAATAACAACACTCCCCCCCCTCAAAACAACACGAATAAGAGGTATGTAAAGCCAAACAATTTTAAAAAGTACTTCCCCCTGGCCCTTCAGTGTTAGTTTTTGTTTGTTTTTTTTTGTCAGAAAAGAGAAATATTTCCCTTGGCATGGCCACTGGCAATACCCTCCAGAATATACATTGGACAGAAAGACAATTCCTTTCTACATGTAAAGAAAGATGGAAACCCAAAATCTCAAAACTAAACACCTAACTGGGGTACAGGGTTGCACTGCTATGAGCCGTAGATCATCTAAACACACCTAAAGGCCTACCTTCTCCCCCATGCCCCACTGTGATCCCTAATGTCAACCCAAAAGCAACTTGCTGCAGGTACCATCAGTATGCCAACTCAATTTAGCAAAAGTATGTGGGAGGTTGTTCTCCACAATCACTCCTCAGCTCTGGAACTCCCTCCCTCTTGAGACTTGTCAACCGGGACATCTTTTGGAAGTGCTGCCAAGACCTTTCTGTTAAGGCAAGCATTAAGCAAACAAAACTAGGCCAACAGTTGTTTCATTTTGTTAGTTTGTTTTATTTATTCTAGTGGCCCTTGAAGTAAAGTTTCTCTTACTGTAAGCTGCCCTGAGCCTTTGTTGGGAAGGGTGACACATAAAATCATATAAATAAAATAAATACATAAATGAACATTTCATACCCATCATTAGTAGTTAATACTCCTGCCTCCTCCCCACCTCACCTCCCCACACACAAACATAAGAAATGAAGCAATGGTGCCTTACCCGCAAACAGGTCCATATTCCTTTATCAGCTGTGTGTGCTTTTCCCAAAAGCCCTGACAAAAAAAACATTATATACACCATCATCATCAGTATTTGGCATTGCCAGGACATTCAAGATCATAAAATTCAGCATTTCCAGTATCAATCATCTCTACTATCCTTCTTAAACCTCAATTCATGTTAGTGTCTCAGAATTTTAGCTTTCACTTTTGGAAAAAAGGACATTTCTAGCGAATATGGTTGTAGAAAACATCTGATAGGCTCAAAAAGCAAATAAAAGAATAGAGCTTCATAATTTTAAGGCTATTTCATCCATTGTGGGGGGCCGACAATTTTTATATGTTTGTGATCAGAAAGACTGACAATGAAGAAATTAATCAAGAGTAGGTACACAACTTACTCTACACAGAAGAGAAACAAAGGTGTGTGCAGGCAAAACAGGGAAAGATCAGGCTGGCCGTTTTTCTTGGGTGGAGCTGCTTTCCTCGGCTGCTGCCAGGCTGCCTGCAGAGCCAGGGAGCTGCGCGGAGCTTGGTGCTTTGCTCCGCGGCTGTAGGGGCATGCAAACACCAACACCGTTAAAGCGGTGCAAAAGCATCTAGCCCACTTTAAAAAATATGTCATGTGCATGTGCCTAAAGGAAGCAAAATGTATGAAAAAAAAAATCTTTAACCTACTAAAAAACAATTCTGCTTGGGTTGAATTTTTACATGAGGCAGTCACTTGGGATAAACCAGGGAAAAAATAACTGCTTTATTTTGACAGACTTTTAGAATTTTTTTACTATTTGCGTTTCACTCTCGTAATTGAAGAAAATTGGTACCCATTTAAAACGAAGAAATCTGTCACTGTACTAAATTGTTTCTGTCCTATACACATACAACTTGAATTTGCTGAGAGGAGACACGTAGAGTGTATCCCAACAGTGAATAAATAAAGATCTCTTCTTTTACTATGACAAAACCATAACAGTCAGACTACCATACAGTACTGTATTTGTAACCTGGGAGATGAAACAAGTTTAACGTGGTTAGTCTGCATTTCTTCTAACCCATAAGCAAAACTGCCACCCACTTCCACAGTAGTTCCTCCATTTCTCAACAAAGATTATCTAGCAAAGTGGTGTATGAAGGTTCTATATTAAGACTTAATTACTTTTACAATATACTATAGAACATTAGCTAAAACAATATGAAGTATTATAAATAGCTAAAATTAAACTATAGCTAGTATAAATGGCCAAAAGACACTGCAATACAGTAACTGTACTTTTTGGTGCTTTTTCTACCTAGTTAAAAAAAAACTGGTAAGTGGTAATGGTTCTCCCGTTTATCACTGCAAATTGGTGAGCTATTTTCTATTGTATATAAAAGAAGGTTTAGGGGTTTTATTCTTAAAGTAAAATACTTTTTTAACACCATGGGTTTTTAAACATGGCTTTATTGGGTTTTTTTATTAGTTTGAGACTAGTTCTTCTCTATTGTTTTATAATTATCTAAGATTAGAAAGATAAAATGAAAATGGCTTTGGATATTACAGAAGAAGATGAGAGGGGATAAAATTCAGAAAGGCAAAATTTAGGCTTAATATTTCAAAAAGGGAGATTTATTGACATGTAAGTTGATTTCCAAAGTAAATGGGGGAAAGTCCTTTTAAAAACCAGAAGGGGAAAATGTTATTAATAGGAACAATCCCGCATCATTGAGAATACAGAGCACATGACCCAATAGACATTTTTATATTCTGTGGGTGAAATCAATGGAATGTCAATTAACATCAATGGGAGGTTGTCACCAACTGCAATGAATATCACCATTTCATCCGCCTTAAAATACTGCACTCTCCCTTCAGTGGCTGGTATAAAGGAAACACTGGGCCTATTTCTCCCTTGCCTCGGCACATTTAAACCTATGCAAAGTGGTTCAGATTGCATAAAGCAGACAGTGTATATCAGTCAGTCTCAGAGACTCTGAGCAGCCAAACACAATTTAAAAATATATATATACAGCAGTTTTGAGTCAGAGCAACGTTAAGACAGATCCCAATGGAACCAGTGATTCTCCAACACCGAGTGCTAAAGTACAAAATTCTACTGTGTACAAGCTAAAACGACCACATGAAGTGAAAGGCAGTGCAGAATCAAAACCATAATCTACTCTCACCAAAACAATTATAAGGTGTACCCAAAAACAGATGGAAATTTTTTTTAACAGATCAATTAAAAATAGATGTGGAAGCTTTGTTCTGGAGCACAGATGCTCACATGCATCCACAATTGCTGTACTACACAATCAGTTACATTCTGGTGAGAAATCAGGATACTCACGTTTACAAGCCCATCTTTTAAAATAAAGGGGGGGAAAAATGACAACTTTCAAGAAAGCAAGTTTCTTCAAAACATTAACATATCTTACTGATTCTCAAGAGTAGAGGGGAGTAAGTCAGAATACAATCTTAATCATAAACCTTGATCACAGAATAATCCAGTGCTTTTGGAGAGAGATTCACTTGAGCTTTGTTCTGGCTTCTGCCACTATAAACCAAGGCACTGACTCCTCAGTTGTATAAATCCTTCTGTCTAGAAGAGGCTGTGATAATGTAAAAGTTGGCTGCAACCTCCTCACCACTCGTGCAAAAGGCCACAGAGAAAGTGCTGTCTGGGTCATCAAGGGATGACCATGACCCAGCCAGAGCCACCACCAGCACGACTCCAAGGAGCATAACTGCCATCAAATGGCTATTACAGAAACATGATCTTCTTCCCCTTGCTGCCTAAAGCACATTGAATTCTGCAAGGGAAGGGAGGTGCCATTTACAACTTCTTTGAACCATCAGAGGTAAATCTGCCCCTTGGAGTACTATTGTAGATTTACCTATGCTTCTACCTACGAGAACATTCTGTACGTATACGGTAAGTGATCATCCATAGCCTATAAAAGCAGCTGTTTTACAGGCAGAGAATCTGAAGCCCTACAGCTACCATTTGGAAGCTGGTCACTGTGAGCTTGTGCAAAGATTCAAGGAGACGCATATTAACTTCTGAAGAAGCACACGTGGCTACAGAGCTGCAGGTTGGCGGCTCCTGCACTAGAGGCTGTACAGTATGTGAGTCGCAAAGCCAGGATATGAACTCACATGTTCTACCTTCCATAACCTCAAGGAACCACATATTGTTATAGATCCAGTTTTAGAGATACTGGGATAGAAGGAAAACAGAACCACTGTAGATTTCCAGGAATCCCTACAAGAAATGCAAAGCAAAGCATGGCATTTTTAGGTGCTGGCCCCAGCCTCCCCTACCCCAACCAGGGTAACTTGCCACATGCCAGAGTGAGCGCAGGGGTGTTCCCTAGGGATAATTAGCAGCAGCCCCTTGAGTCAATCACTATCTAAAACAGTGGTGTCTCACTGTTAAAAAAAAAAAAAGTCACAGTCAGTTATGCTTTTCAAGTTAGAAAAGTCATTTCAGCTGGGTCACCAGTCACAAGTAGAAGCTTAAGAAAGAGTTTTTAAATTAAACTTGACCCTTATAATTTGTTACCAAGTCCAATAATGGCTTATTATGAAAGAAATGAACACATGCATTGAAGAAGTCTTTTTTTTCCTTGAAGAACACATATTTTGCAGCATCTAGCACAGCACAGAAAAGGAAGCTTAAGTAAGTTAGCAGCCCAATACCCAGAATATTTTTGTTTATCTGGCTTGTGGCTAGTTTCCTGCAGGATGCTTGCATTCACCCCCTGCTCTAATTGTAGGTTATTAAGTATGTCTGTGTACAAAACAACTCTGAGAGGTCAAAACCGGCTCTCAGGAATACAGGTGCAACACCTCACAAGGCAAACTTGACTCACACATGTGTCAATGAGAGCAGAATACTGATGCTAGAAACTACTTTGAGCCATTTAATGCCAAGATTACAGGCTCTGTCGCCCATAAATCAGAGAGGTTCAGCAAGGACACTGTTGACTCAACTATCTATTTTTAAAATAGATCCCCCCACTCCAAGAAAGCTCTTCCACAATTCCCTCCTCACTAATATTCCATTGAGCTAATTCTCCATACTCCCACAAGACCTGTGCTACAGTCACCTTCTCTCTGTCCAGAGTCAATGAAGTCAATGTTTTCAGAAATAGCCACTAGTGCCAAAGGTGCCGAAACCTCCTGAGGACCGAACTATGCAGTAACTGAGGTAATGCATCAGTCAAGGACAATTAAATGAGCAGTATTTTCTAATTTAAGAACAGAGAAATGGGTAGGCAAAAAAAAACACCTCTCTTCGGTGAACAGTGTCATATTGACCAGACGGTACACAGAAGGTCCCTAACCACAGAACATATGAAATGTATGCAGCACCAGAGGCAACTTCCTTGAGCTACCTTGCCCACGTCTCAGTTTTAAATTACTGAGCTAAACTGCTTTCTAAAACAATCCACCAGCTAACAGGACACAAAAACATCACCTGCCCAAGGTAAATCAGATGGCTTAAAGAATTGCTAAGAGTAAGTGCCTTCTAAGAGGATCTTGTGATTAGGATGCTGACTTGGGACTCAGGAGATCTGCATTTAGTTCCTTGGTCTGCTACAGTCTTCCCTTGTGACCTTGGGCAAATCACTTTACCATATGTACTTGAATTCTCCCACTTCAAAGTGGGACTAATTTTAATTAGTCACTCCCTATTGTCCAGGGCCATTGTGAGGGTATGTTACAAACTGTGAGTTGCTCAGATACTATAAGTGCTGGAGTGGCATACAAATTCCTGATGGAAAATAGGTCAGCTGGTGCAAGCTCCGACTTGCCTACTTAAGACCAAAACAACCGTTTGATGGCTGTGGATGATCCATGAGGAGTAAGATAGTGGAACAAGACTGGATTTCATGCCCAATCAAATGTTGGCTTGAGAATGCCAGTTGTGATGTTATCCAATGCCAACACCTGTTCATAAGGAACCGGGCTAATGTTCCTAACTCAATTCGCCCAGGCTATAAAAAAGGTCACAACTAAGATAGTTTGGACTCAAACCTGTGACCTAGAAACCAAAAAACTTGGCTTCCTG